AGCTTTACACACCTGGATTGTGCAACAATTATTATTATTATTTTCAAAATTCTTCAAGTTCTGCCAAATTGGTTGTTGATCATTGCTAGACAATCATTTTCAGGTCTTGCCATAGATTTTCATTTAGATGAAAACTATAACTCGGCCACTATAACTCGGCCATTTAGGAACATTCACTGTATTCTTGGTAAGCAACTCCAGTGTAGATTGGCCTTGTGTTTAAGGTTATTGTCCTGCTGAAAGGTGAATTCATCTCCCAGTGTCTGGTAGAACCAGGTTTTCCTCTTGGATTTTGCCTGTACTTAACTCCATTCTGTTTCTTTTTTATCCTGAAAAACTCCCCACTCCTTAACGATTGCAAGCATACCCATAACATGATGCAGCCACAACCATGCTTGAAATATGAAGAATGGTACTCAGTGATGTGTTGTGTTGGATTTGCCCCAAACATAATGCTTTGTGTTCAGGACAAAAAGTTAATTTCTTTTTCACATTTTTTGCAGTATTACTTTAGTGCCTTGTTGCAAACAGGATGCATGTTTTGGAATATTTGTATCCTCAGTTTCCTCCAATCACAGCCTTAAACTCTGTAACTGTTTTAAAGTCACCATTGGCCTCATGGTGAAATCCCTGAGCGTTTTCCTTCCTCTCCGGCAACTGAGTTAAGAAGGATGTCTGTATCTTTGTAGTGACTGGGTGTATTGATACACTATCCAAAGTGTAATTAATAACTTATGGGATATTCAAGGTCTGCTTTTTTGTTGTTTTACCCATCTACCAATAGGTGCCCTTCTTTGCAAACCTCCCTAGTCTTTGTGGTTGAATTTGTGTTTGAAATTCAGTGCTCGACTGAGGGTATGTACGGAGATGAGGTAGTCATTCAAAAATCTTGTTAAACACTATTATTGCACAAAGAGTGAGTCCATGCAACTTATTATGTGACTTGTTAAGCAAATTGTACTCCTGAACTTGTTTAGCTTGCCATAACAAAGGGGTTAAATACTTATTGACTCAAGACATTTCCGCTTTTCATTTTAAATTATTAAATATATTAATATATTAAAAACATAATTCCACTATGACATTATGGGGTATTGTGTGTAGGCCCGTGACAAACAAATCTCAATTTAATCCATTTTAAATTCAGGCTGTAAAACAACAAAATGTGGAACAAGTCACGGGGTGTGAATACTTTCTGAAGGCACTGTAGCTAGCTAATGTTATAATTTGAAATACATTTATCAAAAACTCACATACACTACACAACAAAAAGTATGTGAACACCTGCTCGTCGAACATCTCATTTCAAAATCATGGGCATTAATATGGAGTTGGTCCCCCCTTTGCTGCTATAACAGCCTCCACTCTTCTGAGAAGGCTTTCCACTAGATGTTTGGACATTGCTGCGGGGATTTGCTTCCATTCTGCCGCAAGAGCATTAGTGAGGTTTTGGGCGATTAGGCCTGGCTCGTAGTCGGCGTTCCAAATCATCCAAAGGTGTTCGATGGGGTTGAGGTCAGGGCTCTGTGCAGGTCAGTCAAGCTCTTCCACACCGATCTCGACAAACCATTTCTGTATGGACCTCGCTTTTTGCATGTTTATCCATATTTATTATTTCGCGGGTGCCTGTTCATTATAGGATAGACACATGTGGTTTCTAACTGAACCAATCGAAGCAGTGAAGCATATGTGAAGCAAGACTTTAGTGGTCAAAACCATTAATCTTGGGGCGACAAAATACAATCATATCACTCAATGTATTATAAAATGGTCAGATATACATATATATTTTATACAGACTAGCTCAACTGATGGTATTAGCACTAACTGTTGCCCCTAGTTTCCGGGTTTGACGCCATATCCTGATGTCATGCTTACCTGGATGGATGTCTAATTTCGCAGTGGATCTTGAGCGACCTAGCTGGTCTGAATGTGTGCCTGCATTTTTTTGTGTGTCACGATGATTAGGCTTTGTGTGTGTGTGCGCGCGTACGTGTGTATGTGTGTGTGTATGTGTGTGGCAGAGAGAATGCTATGCTCCTGTGGTGATTGCTAAAGGGTAGCCCTCCAGGCGATTCCTCTCTCAGGGTAGATATACAACAACATCTCACGGTTTTAACAATTTGACTTAAGAGTCAGACGTTTATCCACATTAACCAAATGTCAAATTTCGAAGTTGCTCCAAGCATCACATTTCAAAGTGTTTTTGACAGCCTCGGTTGCTTCTCCTGCCGCGCATAATTCCGTTGCTAAAAACGTAAAATGTAGATGTTAAGGGTTAAGGTTTTAGACAGTGTTATTCCGAATGGTTAAATTAAGGTTTAAGGTTTGGGATAGGGTAAAAAAATAAATTTTTTATTATTTGTGTCTACCACTGGGATTGAATACGCGACCTTCGGATCCGGAGTCATGGGATTAAGGTTTGGGATAGGGTTAAAACATAAACATATTAAATGAGTGTTTACCACTGGGATTGAACACACGACCTTTGGATCCAGAGTCATGGGATTACGTTCGTCCACCACCCCCATCTACAACACCCTAGGAAAACCCAAGCCTACGTGATGGTAAAAGCGTTTACTGTTGCCCCTAGTTTTTGAAGGCATTTCTCAACATCCTCAGGACATGGACAGACGTCCAATTTCAAAGCAAATCTTGAGTGATCTGGTTGAGATATGAGAGAACAATGTGCTTACAGCAGTGGAATATAAATGTGTTTGCATGTGTGTGTGTTCCACAGAAGGCTGCTGAGGGGAGAACGGCTCATAATAATGGCCGGAATGGAGTGAATGGAATGGCATCAAACACCTGGAAACCATGTAATTGATGTATTTGATACCATTCCACTGATTCTGCTCCAGCCATTACCACAAGCCCATTCTCCACAATTAAGGTGCCACCAACCTCCAGTAGTATGTTCGCATTTTTATGTGTGTGTATGTGTTTATGTGTGCGCACACCTGACTCTACCGACATCTGTGTGACAGTGTGTATGTACTTTGTGCATATGAGTATGACTTGGCTACAGACAGACCACGATTCAAGTGTCAGGGAGTGAGTGAATTTACAATAGAAGACACACCCTCACCCCCCACCCCCCCAACACACACTCCCATTTTTATCAGTGAAAATCTCCAACAGCCACATGAATGATGACGTTCATCTTTCCGTCTGAAAATATCCATCCATCATCTATCACTCCTTCGCTCCCCCTCTCTCATCTATCAGGCCCCATCCCCTCTTACTCCATCACTCCATCTCTCCCAACCAGAGAGAGATAAAGACAGATATATATATATATATATATATATATATATATATATAGAGGGAGAGGGAGAGAGAGAGAGAGAGAGAGAGAGAGAGAGAGAGAGAGAGAGAGAGAGAGAGAGAGAGAGAGAGAGAGAGAGAGAGAGAGAGAGAGAGAGAGAGAGAGAGAGAGAGAGAGAGAGAGAGAGAGAGACAGAGAGACAGAGAGACAGAGAGACAGAGAGACAGAGAGAGAGATAGATGAGCAGAGCAGAGCTTACTAGAATGCAGGATGGTAGGGTGACAGAGAGAAAAAAGAGGGAGAGGTGACATGTGAGGAGGAGGAGAGGTGACTAAAGAGAGTGAGATGATTGAGGGATGATCAGAAAAGTTGTACTGTCCTCTTTCCCGTCCTTGCTCCTCTACTCTCTCTGATGTGATTGGGGTGTGGAGAGTTTAACCCTTTATGTGCTGCCTCATCACAGCAACCCACTGTGCACAGACGTCAGTTCAACGTGTAGTTTTGATTTACATTTGGTTGAGTTGTCAACTAATGTGAATTCAACGTAAAATCACCCCAAAAAATGTACAATGTCATTGGATTTAAGTTAAAGGTTTGGTTAAAAAAATACAAAATGCTCTTACGTTGATGACTTTTTGCAAATCCAATCAGTTTTCCAAGTTGATTCAACGTCATCTCATTTATTTTTGGGGTTGAAATGACGTGGAAACAATGTTGACTCTTGGACAAATGAGTAAAAAGTGGACGTTTTTGGACGACATAGGACTCTGGAGAAGCGGAAACGCGTTCGCTGGAGTGATGAATCACGCTTCACCATCTGGCAGTCCGTTTGGCGGATGCCAGGAGAACGCTACCTGCCCAAATGCATAGTGCCCAACTGTAAAGTTTGGTGGAGGAGGAATAATGATCTGGGGCTTTGTTTCAAGATTCGGGCTAGGCCGCTTAGTTCCAGTGAAGGGAAGTCTTAACGCTACAGCACACAATTACATTCTAGACGATTCTGTGCTTCCAACTTTGTGGCAACAGTTTGTGGAAGGCCCTTTATTGTTTCAGCATGACAATGCCCCCGTGCACAAAGCGAGGTCCATACAGAAATGGTTTGTCAAGATCGGTGTGGAAGAACTTGACTGGCCTGCACAGAGCCCTGACCTCAACCCCATTGAACACCTTTGGGATAAATTGGAACACCGACTGCGAGCCAGGCCTAATCGCCCAAAATCAGTGCCCGACCTCACTAATGTTCTTGCGGCTGAATGGAAGCAAGTCCCTGCAGCAATGTCCAACATCTAGTGGAAAGACTTCCCAGAAGAGTGGAGGCTGTTATAGCAGCAAAGGGGGGACCAACTCCATATTAATGCCCATGATTTTGGAATGAGATGTTCGACGAGCATGTGTCCACATACTTTTGGTCATGTAGTGTATATGAGTGTTTGATAAATGTAATTCAAATTGCGAAAATGAAAGTATATATTTTTTAAATACACTTTTAAAGAAAGACCGTTTAGATGGAATACAATCAATTAGATTTGCGGAAATATATTGTGCAACCTGCCCATTAATGATTAATGATTAATGCTGACTCTGACGATGGACGTGTCATTCATTACCTACCATCTCTCTCTCTCTCTCTCTCTCTCTCTCTCTCTCTCTCTCTCTCTCTCTCTCTCTCTCTCTCTCTCTCTCTCTCTCTCTCTCTCTCTCTCTCTCCTCACTCTCTCTCTCTCTCTCTCAGTCTAGGGTGGTGGCCTGTATGACGGCCACTCTGAGTCAGATGGATGACAACCACTATTCCTGCTACCTGGAGACCTTCTCAGGCACCGACCTAGTGGTGAGACATCCCACACACACACGCATGCCTGCACACATACACACATCCATACTCACACACTCTCTGTGTTGTTGCAGGACTTTCTGATGGAGACATTCCTACTGTTTAAGGATCTGATTGGGAAGCACGTCTATCCCTCTGACTGGATGGCCATGATCATGGTGCAGAACAGGTACTATACATGCACACATGCACACACACACACGCACACACACACACACACACACACACACACACACACACACACACACACATGAGATATCTCTGACATCAGATGTAGTCTCACAAATCAGACTTATTTCTGATGATGGTAACATTGTGATTATGGTGCAGAACAGAGACTGTACAAACAGCTGTAGTGTAGAGTTACAATGTAGCGTAGCAGCTGAAGACACACACCCCAAAACAGTTAAGGAGCACCAAGCAGATGGACAATGAACTTAAAGACAAAACAATAAGAACATTCTAGTGTACTCTGATTTGTATTGCTGCAGTGTTAATAAGACATTTAGTGTTTCAATACAAAGCTTGGAGTGCCATTTTCTGACTCAAATTACCAAGTAGCTAGGTACAGACTATTGCTCTAGCATGCTGGCTCAAGTTAATGCAATCAAGTAGCAGTAGGTCAATGGTAATCAAGTCAAATCAACATTTATTTGTCACATGTGCTGAATACAACAGGTATAGTCGACTTTACCGTGAAATGCTTTCCCAACAATGCAGAGTTAAAAAGTATGAAAATTAGCATCTAGAAATGTTAAATAGTAATGCAATACAAAACAATCGGGTGGCTATATACAAGGAGTACCGGTACCGAGTCAATGTGCAGGAGTACGATTTGGTTGAGGTAATATGTACATGTAGTTAGGGGTAAAAGTGACTAGGCAATCAGGATAGATAATAAACAAAGTAGCAACAGCGTATGTGATATGTGTGTGTGTGTGTGTAGCGTCAAAATGCATGCGTGTGTGTGTGTGTTTTCTGTGTGTGAGCGTATTTAGTGTGTGTGTGTGTGTGTGTGTGTGTGTGTTGGAGTGTCAGTGTAAGTATGTGTTAGTGTGTGGGTAGAGTCCATTGAGTGTGCATAGAGCCAGTGTAAGAGAGTCCGTGCAAAAAAGGGTCAATGCAAATAGTCCGGGTAACAATTTGATTAACTGTTCAGCAGTCTTATGACTTGGAGCTAGAAGTTGTTCAGGAGCCTTTTGGTCCCAGACTTGGCGTTCTGATACCGCTTGCCGTGCGGTAGCAGAGTGAACAGTCTATGGCTTGGATGGCTGGGGTCTTTGACAATTTTCTGGCCCTTCCTCTGACACCACCTGGTATAGAGGTCCTGGATGGCAGGGAGCTCAGCCCCAGTGATGTACTGGGCCGTCTACACCACCCTCTGTAGTGCCTTGCGGTCAGATGCCAAGCAGTTGCCAGACCAAGCGGTGTGGTAGCCAGTCAAGATGCTCTAAATGGTGCAGCTATAGAACTTTTTGAGGATCACATGCTAAATCTTTTCAGCCTCCTTATTGGGAAGAGGCATTGTCGTGCCTTCTTCACGACTATGTTGGTGTGTGTGGACCACGTTAATTCCTTAGTGATGTGGACACCGAGGAACTTGAAGCTCACGACCCGCTCCACTACAGCCCCGTCGATGTGGATGGGGGCATGCTCGGCCCTCCATTTCATGTAGTCCATGATCAGCTCCTTTGTTTTGCTGACGTAGAGGGAGAAGTTGTTATCACTGACCTCCTCCCTATAGGCTGTTTCATAGTCGTCGGTTATCAGGCCTACCACCGTCGTGTCATCAGTAAACTTAATGATGGTGTTGCAGTCTTGGGTGAACAGGGAGTACAGGAGGGGACTAAGCACGCACCCCTGATGGGCCCCCGTGTTGAGCGTCAGCATGGCGGATGTGTTGTTGCCTACTCTCACCACCTGGGGGCGGCCCGTCAGAAAGTCCAGGATCCAGTTGCAGAGCGAGGTGTTCAGTCCCAGAGTCCTTAGTTTAGTGATGAGCTTGGAGGGCACTATGATGTTGAACACTGAGTTGTAGTCAATGAACAGCATTCTCACATAGGTGGGAGAGGGCAGTGTAATACCATTAGATCAACATAATACTACACCCTAAATCCCAGTTCAGATACATAAGATGAGACACGACGGTCTTAAGGAGTTTTAGAACAAAGTTTGTTTGATCTGAACGGTCTAGTTTTAGAACATCTCATGTCGTCAGCTGGAGTTCCCAAGATTCAGCATGTAAAATCTTTAGCTGAAGTCTTCTGACGAGACGGACCCATTTAGCCAATCAGAGACCAGTACGCTAATGTTCTGTGTTCAGCCAAGCAGCTTGCCAATGAGAGAGCTACCTAGCTATTTTGCTGCACAGTCACAAAGTGTACCCTGTTTCTGGTGCATGTATTTCATGACACTCGTTTGCTACAACAAGTGGCAACTTTGTTTCAAAGTTTCATCACGTCAATGTAAAGATTCACTGTTACCATGGAAACTGTCTCAACTGCATGTCTAGTCTCCTTTATCTAAATTCCTCGTCTTTAGTCAGCTGTTGTACAACATAACATTCTAAAACTGGCTAGTTTTATCTCGTCTCGTCTCGCCTCATGTTGGCTGTTGTATCTGAACTGGGCTTAAGGCCGACGTTATCTCATTAATAACAGGGGACACTGGACCAACGTTTTAAGATATTTACTCAAAAAGTTTAAAAAAAAGCAAGTGATATTCCATGTTGTTACATTAGGTCCACAGTGAGCAGATGTGATGTTGTTGTTGTGGACTGAGAGCTAGCTTTACAGGATTTGTCATGTCCCTAGGTAGTAGGGTACTATTTACCCTATCAGACCAGACAAGGCCTAGATAACACACCATGATACTGGCCCTGAGATACAGATAGGCTGGAGGATAGAGTGGAAGGATAGGATGGAGGGATAGTGTGTGTGAGAGACGCAGAGAGAGAGATTTCCACAGGCCAAGGATATGTCCGATAGCACAGTGCAGAGAGAGAGAGAGAGGGGGCGAGAGAGAGGGAAAAAGAGAGGGAGGGAGAGAGTGAACAAGAGAAAGAGGGAGGGAGAGAGAGAGAAGATAATGATGAGTGGATACTGGGGTTAATAAGGGAAAGATGAAGAGATATAGTGTTTCCTAGAGAGAAACGATAAAGTGGTGGGTTGGAGGGAGCAATCAGTTCTCTTATAGGATCAAAAAGTTAGATTGTGCTTGAAAGAGAGAGGCATGGGAAGATATTCAGTTAGTTTATTTGAACTTTACTTTTTAAACTTAAATAATATCTGATCCATGCAGGGATACTTGTCAATATTGTATTAATATAAAGGATATCCTTTATATTAATATTAACATTAATATTCGTATCAGGTCCAACTGATATAGATAACAGATGGCATAAATACTGATAACATATTAATATTCAGTACAAGTAAAGAGTTTGGACACACCTACTCATTCAAGGGTTTTTGTAAAATAATAGTGAAGACATCAAAACTATGAAATAACACATATGGAATCAATATAGTAATTAAAAAAGTGTTAAACAAATCAAAATATATTTTAGATTTTAGATTCTTCAAAGTAGCCACCCTTTGCCTTGATGACAGCTTGCACACTCTTGGCATTTTCTCAACCAGCTTCACCTGGAATGCTTTTCCAACAGTCTTTAAGGAGTTCCCACACATGCTGAGCACTTATTGGTTGCTTTTCCTTCACTCTGCTGTCCGACTCATCCCAAACCATCTCAATTGGGTTTACGTCAGGTGATTGTGGAGGCCAGGTCATCTGATGCAGCACTCCATCACTCTCCTTCTTGGTCAAATAGCCCTTACACAGCCTGGAATTGTGTTTTGGGTTATTGTCCTGTTGAAAAACAAATGATAGTCTCACTAAGCACAAACCAGATGGGATGGCGTATCGCTGCAGAATGCTGTGGTAGCCATGCTGGTTAAGTGTGCCTTGAAATCTAAATAAATCACAGACAGTGTCACCAGCAAAGCACCTCCACACCATCACACCTCCTCTTTCGTGCTTCACGGTGGGAACCACATACAGTGGGGAGAACAAGTATTTGATACACTGCCGATTTTGCAGGTTTTCCTACTTACAAAGCATGTAGAGGTCTGTAATTTTTATCGTAGGTACACTTCAACTGTGAGAGACAGAATCTAAAACAAAAATCCAGAAAATCACATTGTATGAATTTTAAGTAATTCATTTGCATTTTATTGCATGACATAAGTATTTGATCACCTACCAACCAGTAAAAATTCCGGCTCTCACAGACCTGTTAGTTTTTCTTTAAGAAGCCCTTCTGTTCTCCACTCATTACCTGTATTAACTGCACCTGTTTGAACTCGTTACCTGTATAAAAGACACCTGTCCACACACTCAATCAAACAGACTCCAACCTCTCCACAATGGCCAAGACCAGAGAGCTGTGTAAGGGCATCAGGGATAAAATTGTAGACCTGCATAAGGCTGGGATGGGCTACAGGACAATAGGCAAGCAGCTTGGTGAGAAGGCAACAACTGTTGGCGCAATTATTAGAAAATGGAAGAAGTTTAAGATGATGGTCAATCACCCTCGGTCTGGGGCTCCATGCAAGATCTCACCTCGTGGGGCATCAATGATCATGAGGAAGGTGAAGGATCAGCCCAGAACTACACGGCAGGACCTGGTCAATGACCTGAAGAGAGCTGGGACCACAGTCTCAAAGAAAACCATTAGTAACACACTACGCCGTCATGGATTAAAATCCTGCAGCGCACGCAAGGTCCCCCTGCTCAAGCCAGCGCATGTCCAGGCCCGTCTGAAGTTTGCCAATGACCATCTGGATGATCCAGAGGAGAAATGGGAGAAGGTCATGTGGTCTGCTGAGACAAAAATATAGCTTTTTGGTCTAAACTCCACTCGCCATGTTTGGAGGAAGAAGAAGGATGAGTACAACCCGAAGAACACCATCCCAACCGTGAAGCATGGAGGTGGAAACATCATTCTTTGGGGATGCTTTTCTGCAAAGGGGACAGGACGACTGCACCGTATTGAGGGGAGGATGGATGGGGCCATGTATCAAGAGATCTTGGCCATCAACCTCCTTCCCTCAGTAAGAGCATTGAAGATGGGTCTTCCAGCATGACAACGACCCGAAACACACAGCCAGGGCAACTAAGGAGTGGCTCCGTAAGAAGCATCTCAAGGTCCTGGTGTGGCCTAGCCAGTCTCCAGACCTGAACCCAATAGAAAATCTTTGGAGGGAGCTGAAAGTCCGTATTGCCCAGCGACAGCCCCAAAACCTGAAGGATCTGGAGAAGGTCTGTATGGAGGAGTGGGCCAAAATCCCTGCTGCAGTGTGTGCAAACCTGGTCAAGACCTACAGGAAACGTATGATCTCTGTAATTGCAAGCAAAGGTTTCTGTACCAAATATTA